AAAAAAAAAAAAAAAAAAAAAAAAAAAAAAAAAAAAAAAAAAAAAAAAAACATGTACCATGGGGTTATCCCTCAAGGAAAAGACGCTATACGACCACAACGCTTAAGAGTGCATATGGTTGGTAATAAGAAGTGCAACAATTTAAAGGAGTATAACGATAACATCTTACCAAGAAAGAGGGGAGACAAGTTATGGTAGGATGTTAGGAAATTATTAATGTGTTTGTTCATGTGGCTGCTTGATAGAGATGTTACAACTCCTAAATATTCTAGATTGGAAATAAGAAAATATAGTAATGGCTTCATCATAGGCGAATTTTGAAAGGATATACGATGATATGGACGATTATCGTCAAACTAACCAAGTCGATAGATATTATAAGACAGTTGGACACAACCATATATGAAAGATATTGTAAAATTGCATGGGTGTCTGTGTCGATAGAGTTGGATCAATCCATACTTCAGATCTAATTTCTAGTGCATTCTTCAGAAAGCGTGGTGCATGCCTTAGAATTTTAACACTAATCTCCCTAACAAACAAATCAAAATCAAAATGTCTAAGTCAAATATTAGAAGATATGTTAAATTTGTCAAAGCAGTTGCGATTTTGAGACTTTGTGGAATTCTCCCGTAGTATATTTATACATATGAATTTCCTCTTTGGAAGAAGTTGAACAAAATTTTGGTGGAAGGATTAGGAAAAGAAGATAGAAATAATAAATTCTTTCATTTTAATATATTAAAACATCGATCACTAAGCAATGATCAATAGGTGAACTTATAGACCTTCAAACACAAGTAAAAAAACATGAAGCAAAACAAAGAAGCGAGCTACAATTGTAATTATTTTAAGACATTAACCAATATTGAATAATTATTGAAGTCAACAAAGATGCTAAATTAGCACTGGAATCCATTGGGAACTTTCTTGCCGCAGGCATTGAGAAGCAAGCTGAGGGAGATGGGGATGTTGAGTTCCTTTCCTAACACATTGGCTTTAAGGGCAGTGCAAAGACACACGGCAGCTTCAAGATCAACTAGGCCATTGATCAGACTGCAGCAGGGAGTCACCGGTGGCTTGCCGATGGTTGCATCGACCAGACCTCCGAGCAATTTGGCACAAACTCCTAGCTTAAGAGTGTATTTAGGGCATTTTCCATTCTCAGGGGAAGGTGTGGGGTTAGGGTAGCAGTCACCGCAGGCGGAGACGAGGGAGAAGGAGAGGAGATTGAGAGCGAGGAGGAAGGCGAGGGAGGCAGTAGCTTTGGAAGCCATTGTTTTGAACTCAATAGAAACCAAAAGTAAGGTAATTGTGAGGTGAGAGGTTGGTGGGGGAGAGTTGGAGATGGGTTAGGGTTTTTATAGGGCGTATGGAAGCTGAATGATAAATAAAAAATAAATAATGATATCTCCATCCTTCATGTGTGATATGCATTTTAGCTGGCAGACTTAATTTTGGACACTTCCTCATATGGGTACCCATAATTTTCCCTTTTCTTCTTCCCTCAATCTCTGGGCTCATAACAAACTTGAAATGTTGACTTAGATCCAGATTTTGGGTGATATGAAACAAAATGAAAATGGGTTCTTATTTTTAAAATCCATAGCTTCATATGTCTAGAAGTGATTTGGTATATATAATAAGAGGGTTTGGAAATGAAAATGGGAGTATTTTCTACTATGTTATTTCTTCTCTATTCGATTGTTTAGTTAGATGTCGTAAAATATGAACCGACCTAAGCTTAAAATTTTGACGTTCGATAATGATAGGACTATTTGTGAGATGCTTTTATATACGTAACAAAAATTAAATATTAAAATATTATTTTAGTTATTATATTTTATAATATTAATTTTTAATTTTTAAAAATTATGAGTAGGACATTTGATTTATTAAGTTTTTTTTTTTCTTTTTATTAAGGTTTATATTGAAAAAATAAAAAAATTTAAATAGTTTTTTTTAATTAATAATAAATGAAAAAAAATTACTTGCGGAGAACCGAATCTCCATAAGTTTCTCGTGGTGAATCCTCATCTCTATCCAAGCAAAAATAAATGTGTAACTTCTGGAGAATGGAGAATGATATAGATGGCAGGAAATGCTTTTTTGTCTCCGCCCCACCTGGTTGACATCTCTATCAATTAGGTCTCTCAATTTTTCTCCATTTAAAAATATGTATTTATTTCTAGGGTATTAAATTTTTATGCATGGTCATGGGTACAAGTTAATATTTATAACTTTTTTTTATAAATAAAAAATGTATAATCTTAATTCATTAATGGATCGTAAGACAACTAAGAGTTTCTGTAAAAGATTAGAATGGAATCAAAAAAAGAAGAAATAGAAAAAGAAGAAGAATTGAGAATAAAGAACGAAAACGAACATGACACAGCAAGTTGCTAGTACCTTCCTTCGAAGTCCTAAGGCAAGTAGAGCTATTTAGCTACTTTATCAATTTCTAAATCCAGATAGGATACTGCCTCATTCGTAATTTCTACTTGGAATCAATCCTGACTTCAAAAAAGAAATCCTCGTTCCGAGGTAATAGTCAGAGAAGAAATTGGTATAGGAAGAGCTGACCTCCTTAAGAGGGTCCCGTGGAGACTTTGACCGAATTAATAGGGAGAATTTGCTCGACATTTTGATTGAGGAAGAGAATCCAGGATTCAGGCTTTTTTCGTTCGATATGTGCTGATGCGTCCTCCCGTTATCGATGGACGGGGGTTACATTTTTTCTAAAAATATTCATTAAAAAAGGAGTAAAATTAACGTTTTTTACCTTCGTCATTTTAAACCTTAAAGTATGATTTTTTTTTTATTGAACCTTGTCGATTAACAATGTTTTATGTTAAAGAAATGTTATTTAACTTTGGGATGATAAATAAGTAAAAAAATTGTAAATATGATAAAGAAAAGAGAGATGCTTCACATGTAATACTATTATATCATGTATATATTGCAATGGTATTGGTATTTTGTATGAGAAACATAAATTAATACTTCGCCACCTAGCTCAAAGATTCAATTCAAGATTCCAATTTATGAAACAATATATAAAAATTATAACAAATAAAATAACTTCATATTATAATTTGGTGTACTAATTTCTTTTTTCATGGTACAACCTTTTCGGTGATGACGTACCAGGAACAAAGATTAATTTGGCTCATAAGAAGCGATTCACATGAAATTTTCAAATAATGTAAATTATAGAATAGCACGGTGTTCCATAAAACATTACATTTCAAAACAAAATAGGTAATATAGCTTCAAGAGATGTTAGACAATAAATTCAAATACTCGAGTATGTCATTCTAGAGAATACCAGTATTATTCACAAAGGACAATGCAATGCACATGTGTATAAATTATCGAGAATAAAACAATGTGATTATTAGGAATAAGTACCCGTTCTCAAGGATTGATAACTCGTTTAATTAGTTGCAATGAGTTAGCAATATTTTTTAAGATCGACCTATGGAAGAGATAATACCAAATGAGGATTGAAGAGAGATATATATCCCTAAGACAACATTCCAGACGAGGTGCGAACATTACGAGTTTAATGTGATGTTCTTTGGCCTTGTGAGTGCACCAATAATGTTCATGGACTCGAAGAATAGAGTATTCAAGAACAAAAGAGGAGAACGATGAGCATTTGAAAAAAAAAAAAAAAAAAATCCTAACAACTCTCAAAGAAAATCATGTTGAGTTTTCTAACTGGGAATTTTGGCGGGAATTGGTGGTTTTTCTCAAATATGTTAGAACACGAGGAGGTATTACCGTTAATTTTGAGAAAATATAATTCATAACAAAGTGGTATCACTCGATGTAAGATCCGACATCGGTTGGAGAGGGGAACAAAACATTTATTATAAGAGTGTGGAAACCTATCATTAGGTAACACATTTTAAAACCTTGAGGGAAAGTCTAGAAGGAAAAGCCAAAAAAGTACAATATCTATTAGCGGCTTGGGTTATTACAAATGGTATCAGAGTTAAACACCGAGCGATGTGCCAGAGAGAACATTAGGCCTCCAAGGGGGTGGATTGTGAGATTCCACATCTCTTGAAGAGAAGAACTAAACATTTCTTATAAGGGTGTGAACTTTGACGAGAAGCTTAGAAGGGAAAGTCCGAAAAGTACAATGTCTGCCCAAAGAGTACAATATCTATTAGCTGTGGACTTAAATTGTTATAGTCGGCCATTAAATACAAAGTCGAAAGTTTAGAATGGTATAGAAAATAAATTTAATTTTATGTATAATAAATTTATTAATTTTATTTGAGGATGAATATGTGAAATATAAAATAAAAAATTGAAGATTTATTAAATTAAATTACAAAACTCATAACAAATAATCGGATATAATATTATATTAAAGACGTGATTACTACTTTAATTATTTTAGAATATAAATTTATAATTATTTATATTATTGAATCGTAGCACAAATAAATATGACATATATACCATGTTCTTTAAGACTAACACAATAATTTAATTTCCACCACATTTATTGCTTTATTCACATGTTAATCCTTCAATAATAATATGTTTTCATAATTTTTGGGATATTTTAATTTAATTATTGTGGAAAATCAATACATATATATATATATATATATTATAAGAAAATAGCTGTCATGAAATTATGATCCATAATTAGCTAGTTATTATTAATATTCATAGCTTAAACTATTAAATGGAGATTAATTAAATTATTTAAAAATGTAGCATGTGACATGTGAGAAGAAACTATGAGGTCGAATAATAACTGTGCACGTGGCAGTGTTCGACAAATAGTATAGCATAAAAAGATTCTCTTTTTTTTTTTTTTTTTTCATTCCATAAAATTAATATTTTATTATTTGTATTTTAATTTCTTATATCCTTGGAAAAACCACGTCGTTTAATTTATGTGAATTAAGTCAATGGTTGCTTAATGAAATAGTTACCAAATACTATTATTTTCTTGACAGATACCAAGTATTAATGTTTTTACATTTTTTTAGAATTTTTATTAGTAATCGTTTATATTTCTATACATTTAAATAGAATCTCTCGCAAAAAAGACCGAACATTAGTGTGGTGCTTAGTATCACAATTGCACTTTTTAGATACTTTTATAAGCGATTGTGCCGCACCCTCTCTCAACCCCGAGTCAGCCAACTCAAATTCGCGTTGCTTATTGTTAGGCGACATATGCTCAAGTCACTAGTCCTGCTATGATTCATTTTCAAGATATTTTGGCGGTGAAATAGTAGACACGCCAGACTCAAAATTTTGTGCTCATAAGTAGAAGTTGGAAAGGAATAAGTTTAAAAGCAATGTTATATATATCTCTAGGGTTAAAGCTTGTATGTGAAATGTTATTAAAGCTTGTATTTGAAATGTTATTAGTAGTTCAATTAGTATTGTAATAAGGCCTTTTTGAATGTATCATGGAGAAAGAATTTTTAGTGTATTTTTTCAATAAATTGTGGCATCAAATTAGGCAGCCCAATGGGGGCTCTTTTTCAAGCACCAAAACCTTATCGTATCATATGAATTAATGGGCCATGTTGAAATTGATGTTGAATGGTATTCGTATGCACGGCACAAAGGATGCCTGTACGGTTGTTAATCTTATCTTTTTTATTCTCTTTGACTTGTAAGATAGAGAAAATCATTTATTAAATCATCAGGGTAATGATCCATCAACCTGCTAGTTCTTTTTATGAGGGACAAACGGGAGAATTGATCCTGGAAGCGGGAGAACTATTGACGCTGCGCGAAACTATCACAAAGGTTTATGTACAAAGAACAGACAAACTCTTATGGGTTGTATCCGAAGATATGGAAAGGGATGCTTTTATGTCAGCAAAAGAAGCCCAAGCTCATGGGATTGTTGATGTTGTAGTGGTTGAATAAAAAATAGCGAGATTTCACGCAAAAATCCGAAATTTGAGATTTTCTCTTCTTATGGGGGCTAATATAATATTTTCTATTACTATTAATCCTATTAATTATTAATATCGAATATAGAAGTAATTCATAATCATCTGATTAGGTTGGATCTAAACCAACTCATTAGGTATACAATTCAACATGCCAACTATTAAACAACTTATTAGAAACACATGACAGCCAATCAGAAATATCACCAAATCGCCCGCCCTTCGATGGTGCCCTCAGCGTCGAGGAACATGTACTAGGGTGTATGTGCTACTCATTCAGACCATGGACCGGGACAAAAGAAAGTACAAAATTTTTCCCGTATCATTGATAAATACTAGTGAATAGGATAGAATGAATGGAAGAACTTCGTTCACTAC